GTTGCATATCGGTTGGAAAACAGTGTCAACGGTCACTAGCGTGCCGCCAGTTGAGCCGCTGCGGACACAACGTAGGAACTTTGAGCAAGTTTTAGCGAGTCGTCGATCAACTTGTCCTACTATCGATTCTTTCGGTGAAAATCTGTTAAAACGGAAATCGTAGGTTCGTCGTGTGGTTCGCGTGTTCGAGGAGAGCGAAGAAAACGGGCAAAACGGTCGAAACGGTCGAAACGGTCGAAACGGGTAAAAAGCACGTGGCTATTCGAATAGGAGAAAATGAAGACTGTTAGTTTCTACCTGTCGAGAATAGCGCCAACGTAACGGCCATCGGTAAAGGTCAAGAGGGCCGGCCCATCCCAAGGCTCCATTGCGCAAGCAGCCCAATGATAAAAGTCTCGTTTCTCGGTTGCCATGGTCAAGTCGTTCTGCCAAGCCTCGGGGACCATCGTCATCACAGCCTAAACGCGACATTCGTGTTGGTTGTTAATCGCGAGCGGATTTACGAACGAGCGTAAGCGTTTAATTCCAAAGAAACTTGAAATAAGGAATAGAAGATTCCGAACAGCGAACACGAGCATCGAAACGAGCATCGAAACGAGCATCGAAACGAGAGCGCGTTCACGTACCTCCGGCAAAGATCGTTGGCCCACCATCACTAAAAATTCCAGAACGCAGTCGGCCGCTCCGGAATCGGACAAATTCGGCTCCACCACGGGATACAGCTGTTTCAACTGATCGCCGTACAGCTTGCTGCTCATCACGCCTTCTCGGGCTTTCATGAAGTTCACGTTGCCTCTCAACGTGTTGATTTCTCCGTTGTGCGCCAATAAACTACGAAACCGGAAAACTCGCGTTATTCCCCTCGCGGTAGGAAAGCGAACTCTGCGCGATCGGTGCAGATCGCCAACTTACCGAAGAGGGTGCGCCCTTTCCCAGCTAGGGAACGTGTTGGTGGAGAATCTCGTGTGAACCAGCGCCAGATACGTCTCGAATTTCGGGGACTGTATCGGGAGCAGAGACGTATCGATGAATAAACGAACGAACGGAACCGCGATTTTCGACGGACTTTACGCGCACTTTTTATTCACCTTCAAATCCAGAAAATACAGCCATAGTTGATCCGCCGTCAGTTGACCTTTGTAGACGATAGTTCGCACGGAGAGCGAACATATGTAGTACCTAATTCCTGGCCGCGGTATGCAGTGAGACGATCTCTTTCTCAGTACGAAAACCTGTGATTTAAAATAACAAGTACGAAACTATCGAGTCTGGGAAACTGGCCGAACACGCTGTAATCGCATAATACGATGGTCAACGATGATATTTATAATGACATTATTATTATTAATTGTTATAACCGACGATAACGATAATGCTAATGATAATGATAATAATAAAGCGACGATGACGAGCACGACGATTATGATAATGAGAATAATCACTGTGTCAACGATGACGTCGACAACAACGATAGCATTTCCGAACGTTACCGTCGGTCAACAATGAATTAAACGCGAGTCGCTTATTCGACGATTCACGGCGAGTAAACGAGAAACGGGTGGGTAACGATCGTTCGTGTCCGAAATGTCCAGTTTACCTGACGTTCCAGAGTGATATCGTCCTGATCGCCGGTAACGAACACTTGACGCATGTAAGGCTCGCTCTTCTGTGCCACTCGACCGATCTTTGTGTTATCGGTGGGAACGTCGCGCCAACAAATCACCTGCGAAACGAACCATTCGCAAATGTATAATGTCGCCGCGAGAAAGAATCGTAGAAATCGAAACGATTTCGTACCCTCAGGTTGCATTCGTCGGCCAACTTCTCGAACTGCTCCTCCGTTTGCTCGTGCGAATTTTTGTCCAAGAATAGTATACCCGTAGCGTAACGGCCACACGGTGGCAGTTGAACGTTTTGTTGTTCGCTGAAAAAATCATATCGCTCGTTTCACCAATGGAGAACGAGGATTGCTCGGAAGGAAGGTTATTTTCAAGGCGAAAGCGCCACGGAAAAACTAGAATAATCTAAATAGAATGTTGTTTATCGGTAGGCGCGTTTTTCGTTCGTAACGCGTCGCCGCGGCGATCCGCGCAAATTTACTCGGGGTTTTACACGTTTTCGTCTGCTCGATTCCTTTCCCTTCTCGACAGTTGGAAGCGTCCTCGACGCGTCGTTCGAACCGAGGAAAACGTCGGACTCGTCAATTTGGAAATCGCGCGAGCGATTCGCGAAACGAGAAAACTCGACCTCGACCGCGACCGTGGCCATGATCGTAACCGTGAATTAGAACACGAAGGCTAATCGGAAGGGAGTATTTAGAGGATCGAGAGGAAAGAGGGAAACGGGGAAAGGGGAAAGGGGAAAGGGGAAAGGGCAAAGGGGAAAGGGGACGGAGGAAAAACGAGTAGATGGAAACGGAATCGCGGTCGCGTCGCCGATGCTATTCGGTAATAATAGGAAACGATAAGGAGGTAAACAGGCAATAATTACTGCGACGCAGAAACGTAACGCGATAACCTCGAAAATACGATGCCGTGAACTCGCTACAGTGATGAAACTGAACGCGTCGTTGGCAATGTAGTGCGTCAGAGAGTCGATAAAAACGGAGGATCGGAGTAACGGAGCATAAATCCTGGTTATCTCTTACCGAACGTGATCCGCGTAATAGTCGTGTGGAATTGCGCAAAGAACACCGGCTCCGTCTCCGGTGTCGTTATCGCAAGCGCAAGCACCGCGATGGTTCATGCGAGCAGATAGAGTCTCCGCATCGCGGACGATCTGCAAACAGATTGTAAACGTTTAATCCCGATTCGGCTCGAGGAACCAACGTTGCCTGTCGCCGAGCGATTTCGCCGAGCGATTTCGCCGAGCGATTTCCCCGCGAATCGGTTCGAGGTTAGCTGGCTCACCTTGTGCGATCTCTTTCCGTCTATGGCCACGATGAATCCGACTCCGCAAGCATCCTTCTCGAGGGATGGGTCGTACAGAGCCTGTTTTCGAGGAAGCGACCAACGCTCGTCCCCATTCATATTTTCCATCTGAAACAAGTATCGGACGGGAACCGTTCCCTACAACCTGTACCGCACACTTTTCTCGGCTAACGAGCTTCGCGACACTCGGAATCGAATCGAATCGAATCGATCGGCGTCTACTATATTTTTATCGATTCGGCGCCACTTTCATCGGCAATATATTACAGATACCGATATCGATATGTAACCGACACCGACACAAATACCGACATTGACATCGATGCCTGACATTGATATCGATACGGATAAATCGCATCCTGTTATATAAATCTCTGCGCATTATTTAAACGTTGACTGCAATCGGGAAAACGTATACGTTCGGAGGTTTAACGTAACCGCGCTCTCCTCTCTTTTGCTCGAGACACGAGCGTTGCGAATTTCGTTGGGAAAAACTGATACGATACCGCTGATAGAAAGGTCATCTCGAAGATGACTCGAGATCCGAGCGATCGTTACTCGAGTTGCCCGCAACCGTACTTACGACTCTGCTTACTTCTCTCGAAGGTATCGCGCGGGATTCCAGCGACCCGACCACCAACGAATCGCGATCGAAAGAACCGACGGCTGGCAAACGCGTATCGAGAGCTGGTTCGCGAGCCTGCTTCCTCTAGCAGTAAATCGCTCGGCAACCGTAGTCTTCCGTTGGTTGCGTCGCGCATCGTTCTTCGGATATTTAGCTCGGCGTTCCGCAATTGTTCGCATACTTTCGGCATTCCTTGCCGCGCGTATCGTTTCCTCCAGAAACGCGGAAAACATTCTTACGCGAGCGATTTCCTCGAGATTCGAGACCGCTTCGGTCGACGTGTCGTCTTCTGCAGTCGGAGAGCAGTCTGTTTCAACGCGAAACGTAAATAATGCATCGGCGCGATAATTAATCGCGTGTGCCGATCCTAGACGCTCGATAATTGACTCGAGAGCGCGTATACGCCGCTTATTTTTGTTCGAATTGCGTTTCTTCGAGATCACGAGATAACTTTGGCAAAGAGCGCGCCAATCGATTGAAATTTCAAAGAGATTCTCTCCCGTTCTCGCCGTTTCTTTCCGTGGTGCGCCGTGTCGCAGTTTGCGACGCTCTCCTGTTCCTCTTTGATCCTTTTTTATCCTGTTCGATCCTGTTTTATCCGGCAAGCGACGCGCGTCTCGTTATACCCAACTACTTACCTATACGGATCGGCAATGCGGATATCTCCGTTCGATCGGTCCGTGTTTTGCCAAATCGTAAATATCGCCAAGAGCGCATTCGATTCGTCCAACTCCGTCTTCTCGTTCCTTGGTTTCCGTCGCATCCCATAACCGTCCGGATTCTTACTTTCGTTCGTTACACGATTCCTACGGCCTACTTTGAATCGGAAATTCTCTCCGTTTCCTCGACAATGTTCGCTTTCCAAGCGAGTCGAGTCGATCGCATCGTTGAAACGTCAACTCGACGTGTCTATACAACGGTATAGAAGCGTCTCCGAGAAATCAATGTTTTCCTCTGCTATAGTTACGCGCAACGTCCACGGCTGACGACTATCAATTACCGATTACCCATTACCACCTAGCCGTTAACAATCGACATTGCGTCGCGAGTTATTCGAGAAAATTGTCATCTTAGTTTACCAGACAAAATTCAATGTACGCATTCGAAACAACGGATCTCGACGAGACATATTTTCCGTCTGCTCGGCAGCTACCGATAGCAGCTTAGCTGCTGGCAATATTTGGTTCGATGCCAAACCTCCGATACAACCTGGAAAACGCTCGGTTTCCCTTAAAATACATTTCTATTTTGGCAACGTGAAAGTCATTGATAACGACGCGACTAGACTAGTTTCAGTATTCCGTCTACTCGACGCTGTGCATCGTGCACGGTATGCACACGTAAAATAAACTAAACGTCCGTACAGTTGCTTCCCTCTGATTTCGGAACATGGAGGATTCGAGCGTGGACTTGCTAAGAATGCCTGTGGCGTTTCAACGGAGAACACGAGTATCCTACAGCGTATTATATTACATTATATGCTCGTCGACCGACAGAACGATGAAAATCTTTCCTTTTTCGAGCGTGTTTGGACGCTGTGCAACGTTCACGGCTGGCTTAGGTCTTCCTCTCAACGCACGTAACAAATCCCCCCCACCAACTCTCGGAGTCGCGCACGCGAGCGAGTCGGCCTCGCGAATATATATACTAGCTTTACTCGGTTCGGAATACGATATATTTACGACGAATCGTGTATTAGAAATTTTCCAATGCTGCATAACCTTCGAAAATAATTATCTTCCGACACTTACCGAATATTAATTGAAACGATAATAATCTGATAACGATTGGCGGGAATTCCTGACGAGACCCGACGACAGACCCGACGACAGACCCGACGAGACCAGACGAGACCAGACGAGACCAGACGAGACGAGACGAGACGAGACGGGGCGAGATATATTTAAAGAGTCGGATATGTCGAGTGCACGATTTGTCCCAACTATGACCGTATCGATGAATTTTTTAGCAAAACTTGACAGATTTCTGAAACATAGATGTACTTTAACCACTGTTCGAAGACTGAACTACGCAGCTCGATGCGCACTCGAGTGTATCGATTTTTCAACGAGAAAGCATATACGTCCGCGATATGTACGGTCACGACCGAGAACAATCCACGAATCTATAGGAACGATTGGTAACGTGCTACCGATAATATTCATCGGTTCGCCAAGTTCACCAGGCTCGGCGGAAGACTCTCGGAACTTTTACACGAATTTCCTTCGATGGATTCGCATCTTTCGTTTCCACCCGTCTAGGTAGAAACGCACGGAAGGAAGACCTAACCAGACCAGACTACGGCTTTCGATTGGTACGATGCGGTGACACGTGCTACATTGCCAATAGCGTAGAAAAATGCGAAACGGGTGAAACGTGCGAACGTACTAACGGTGTATCGCTCCTCCGAAAAGTACGAACGTACAACGTCGAAATTCGTCGAGTCCGCAGACTAGAAACTAGAAAGTTCAAGCTATTACGCGGCGGCGAATATGTCGCGTAAACAAACCTTGGAACATTTGCAAAGTTATCTTGCAGAAACGAAATCACCGATTAGGTTTTCCATATGCAAATCGTTTCCTGCGCCTCGATCTGTTATATACGCGTACACGTACATATTCGTACGAGCACTGACATGCATGTACACTCCTGGGATGTTCATTAAACTCGACTAGATCGAAATCGCATCGCAACTGCGAAAAACAAATGTCCCGAAATAATTCGATCCGAGAATAAATCATTTTGATTATTGACTCTTCTCGTGTAAGATATAACAGGAGGATTTCGATCGGATATCCGTCGGAATAGAAAAGAGAACATGCACGTACGAAACTCGGCGAGCCGAACAACAGAATACTTACATATTTCCGGTGCTTCGGGTAACGATGATGGTAATCGCGCGTTACTCGGTTCGTGCGAACGTAAACCTTCCGACGTTCTCGGACTGTTCAATATGTTGAATACGGTGAATAGGCGAAACGCGTCGAGTACGTATGTTCAGAGTTCTCTTTTTACCAATTTTTCTGTCGACTCTCTCGACTCGACCGGCTATTGCGTCGACAGATGCGTTTCGGCAAAGTCGTTGCTTTTCGAAACGATTCTTCGGAAATTGCCTGCCAGGCAATTTCATAGGAAGAAACCTAACTGACCGAGACGAACAGACTCCCCTGATTAGTTGGCGGACATTCTAGCACGGTGATAAATGAAAATTTCAAGAGACCCGTACTGAACTCGACGCGAACCGAACGACTCAACTGCTGCGACTTAACTAAATTTGAATCAAGGCAGTCGATCCTACCTAAAGAGTCGAACGCTAAGAAATTTTTTCGTCCCGAGCGATGCGACGATGCCGCCTCCCTCTGCAAATTTCCAGTCAAAGTAACACCCGTTACAGTTCAATCGTAACACGCGTCTGCGCTCTGCGAACCGTGGTGTCGCTTCCAGCCAACCGACGCGTCCTCTTATTGGCTACGAGTTCTTTCACCACCGTCTGGAACGAGTTCTAATTGGCACCGAGTTCCCGGCATCGATCGATCTTATCCGAAACGATTCGCCGACAATTTCGAAAATCGAACTCGACTAGATCTCGATCCGCTTATGGTTATATACGCGAGTATGCTTCGTCTTTTCGTCAGAGAAATTCCCTTAAATCTTTTACGCCCCGTCCGACAAACCTTTTCGAATCGTTCGCGTTTCAAAATTACGACCACTTTTATGTTTTTCTTAATCATACTTTCTATTTCGCTTACAATAATCAAAAAATATATGATCTGTAAACGCATTATCCTATCTACATATATCTACATATATATGTATAGGATAAATTG